ATAGCCCCCACACCCCCAAGTCCCCCCCGGGAGCGGTTGGCGGAGGGGGGATTTTTGGAGGTTAAACTCCAAATATCTTAAGGTTGCCAAGGATGAGAAACACTGTGCTAGAGACTGAAGCTTCTGCTCACAAAAAATATATTCTGGCACCATGCTATGGCAGCCTAATGCAGAAAGGAAACCTTTCCTGCTAAATTCCCAGTTTGGGATTCCTGAGTCACTTTCCTTTAGAGAAAGACATTAAATTCATCTCTTACTCATCTGCATCCTACCTGTTTCCATCAGCTCCTCTATTGCTGTAGGGAAGCTGTCAGGTTTTCTCCAATTCAATGCCAAAGTTGTAGGCTGAGTTTGTGATTCTGTTTGGGCAGGTGACAGAGAAAGGACCCAGAGTCATCAGCCGGAGGGAACGGAGCATGGAGAATTAAGCAGGATGTCTGCAAACGACGCAGGAGGACAGGTTAGCCCAGATCCTTGCTTTGCTTCAGGATGTGAGAACGAGGACCAGAACCTTCACCCGAAAAGCGCCCCAAAGGCTGAATTCAGTGACATCTCCTTAGAAGGAGACAGAGGGACCTTTTTCCAGGTACCTGAAGTAGCAGGAAGGTCAGAAAGTCAGGAGAGGCTGAGACATACCCAAGGACGCTCAGCCAGAAAGGTGCCCCCCAAAAATGTGGTTTGCAAGGAAGATGATTCAGACAGAAGCCCCATCCGGAAGAGGCTCCCTGAGCACGTGTCCCCAAAGATGGCCCCAGAATGTAGCGGCCCGGGTTTTGACCTCCCTCCACCAGCCAAGACCCTGTCCTACGAATGCTCCTACTGTGGCAAGCAGTGGCCCTGCCAGTCCCAGCTCCGCCGGCACGTCAAAATCCACACAGGCGAGAGGCCTCACAAATGCACAGACTGTGGGAAGAGTTTCAGCACCAGCTCCAACCTCAGCCAGCATAAAAGGGTGCACACCGGGGAGAGGCCCTACAGCTGCAAAGACTGCGGGAAAAGCTACCGACGCCGGGCCTCCCTGGTCCAGCACGAGCGGGAAACCTGCCGGAAGGGGAGCCACTTAAACGCTCCGGCGGTGGGGTACGTCGTGCTGGGGAACTGCGCTTTGCTGTGTATGAAGAAATCGGCGCAGGGTGGGAAGAATCGTGTGATCGCGCCAAAGGGAGGAGAGGTCCCGCTCGCAGCCCAGCCCTTAAACCTCTTAACGGGATATTCGCAAGAGAGAAGCCGTGCTGAAAGTTAGAGGTCCAGAGAACTGGAGTTGGAGACGGGATGCTGCCTGGGACGAAACAGGACTCTGGGCTGGGGGAGAGGAACACAGATGGGGGAAATCTTCCTCGGAGCCCAACGTCTGCGGGAAAGAATGGGCAGGGGGGGTGTTGACAATTAGGGAAACTCTCCTGTCTCAACATCCCTGGTGGAAACCAAAATGCAGGACTAGGAGGACAGGCGGGAGGCTGAAAACGACCGACGGAGGGCACCGCTGGAGGATCCTGCAAATAGGTGGCTTGTTCGGCCTCTTGGAGGGGAAAATGTGCAAAGAAATACGGAGAAAGGTTCTGATTGGAAGAAACGTCCTCTTGAAACTGGCTGGCCCTATTGACAGGCTCACTGAGCCATGGAGGGCATGCCGAAGGGTGCACCGTACCCCAGCCGTGGGCAGCAGGGCTGTGCAGAAGTCTGGATTCCAAATGAAAAAGAAAATTCGGAGCCGGCCCGGGCGTGGTTGTCACACTTGTCAGCAACTCCTTAAAGAAGCGGAGTCTTTTCTTGGGCTGATACGGCTCTCCTGGAAGAAGACACCTGGTTTCAGGATGTCCTGCCGGTGCAGTTCCAAGTCACCCGCTCTGCTCAAAAGGTGGATTGTTGCACAGTCTTCATATACAGTAGGGTCTGACAAATGCCCTGGCAGTGGTAAGGATTATTCTTTTGCAGGTCCAAGCTGAAATGATCTCTACAACTGCAAATCACACAGGTTCACTCAGTTTGCAGATAGAGGTTTGTACCGTGGGCGGATCAGCTGTCACGAGTCCTTTGGAGTAAATCCAAAACCTCGTTCAGACTCTTTCGGAACGCCAGCAGTGTGAAGATAAGCTTTAGTTTCAGTGCACCTGGAAGGAGAAACCATATAAATATTCCAAATTTGAGAGACTCTTCTTGACCCCATTGCCTATTTTTCAATATAAGGGCTGGGACAGGCAACCTTGTGGTTTCTGAACATTGTAAAAACTATTTCTTCTCCCATAAGCAACCCCCATTTTAAAAAAGAAGCAATGAAATCATAGAAGGTTTCAGCAGAGCTCAGACTGGATTTCAAACCCACCCTTAGTCTGCTGTGAAGCATCTATATGGCACTTTGGGGTTCAGTCCTATTTTTATAATAACTTTATTACATTTTTTAAAAGAACCATAAAAACTAACCAAAACTAATGTTAAGAAAGAAAAAAAGAAAGAATTGGGAAAAGAAAAAATAGTAAAATGCAAAAGTGCATAAAAGAAAAGGAAGAGAGAGAAAAAAAGAATTGACCCAACCGCCCCCCACAACAGATATAAGTAACAATATACATCAAAATTCTTGCTCTAAATTTACTACATAATTCCCATTATTTCTATTAACCCATATTATTGCCCTGGGGCTTAGTATTGATGGGTAACTCTGCCTGATAGAGCGACCGTATATAGTTGCCAGCATAATTTTCACTGACATGCCGATGTGCCAACATTGGAGCCCAAAGGGGTATTTGTGGCTGTGGCCAGAAACAGCATCCTGAGACAGCATTAAGCAGATCTGGCGTGACAACAAGATCAGCAATTGGTAGAACCCATGAACCAAAGTAGAGGTGGGCTCCCCTTCACTGGCTGTGTCTAAACAGAGGCTAGACAGTCATCTCTAGGGGAATGCTTTAATCTGCATTTTTGTACTAAGTGTTAGATTGGATTTCAGGGCCCCTTCCAGTGCTGCAACTCTGAATATACCTGGCCGGGGAACAGGGGACACATACTGAACAGGTATACAGTAAATGAGCTTTACTGCCAGGGTCTTTGGCATCTTTTCCAAGCATGATTCTCACGGAGTCTTCTTTAGCAAGATTTATTAAGGAGAAAGGGGTGGAGTTACGGGAATTCTGGCAACTGAGCTGCTGCTGATGTACAGCCAACGTATTCCAAAATACGTCAGGGTGGGGACTTCCTTCTCTTCTTCCTGATTGCCGTACTGTGAATTAGCAGGTCTCTTCTCTGATACCGCTAGAGCTTGCGGCTGGTTATTTATATAACTTTCTTTATCGGTCTTGAGAACTATTATGTGTATGTAGCAGCAGAACCAGGAGGGCCATTGTCAGATCCCCTCCATCTAAAAATATATATTGATTCAACACAACAGAAGCTTCCAGTCCATGAAAGGAACTCGTTGTGTTCCAGTTTCCCAATGAACAACGGAGAGCTTTCTAGGGTTTCTCTACCATCTGCTAAACTCGTTGCACTTGAAGTGTGCCTGTGGTTGTGCAAGAAACAAAATCGCTCAGATTCAGTCATTTCTGGACTCAGTTTCTCTAGAAAAGTCACGGAAGGGTGGGGTTTCACTTGGCACATCAAGGAGGACATAGGGGCTGGATTCCCACCATACATTGAAACCTAAACTTGGGTTAAGAAATTACAATTGATATGTTCCCATAATGCGCTGAGCCCAGAGAAGCTTTATGATGATTTAATTCCATTGGGCCTTGTGTGAACACAACCTCTGAGTCTGCCTTAGCTTAATCACACATGTCATATGAACTCAGAGTCAAGAAAGTAAGCAAGAGAGACATGGACTCTGCCCTTGTGGGTAGCAATTCCAAGTCTCCCAAATAATATTTGAGACATATTCTATTGAGCTTTGATCGAAACGCCAAGGGTGATCTTGATCTGGAGAAACAACTAAAATCGGGAACAACGAAGAAAGAAAGTAAATGGTAGACGTGTCATGATAAATAGGTAACATTTTCATATATCTGAAATCAGAAGAATTTCATGCTTTTCCATCTTCAGTCTTACCAATTATTCCATCAAAGAACCTTGCCATCACCAGGATAGGAAGGCAGAATTTGCTTTTCAAAAAATGACATATGCATGTGCACGCACATAAACACATATATAGATATATTTGTAGGCATTCTGCTATTATGTTTATAGTTTATGGCAGTGTTTCTCAACCTTGGCAACTTTAAGACGTGTGGACTTCAACTCCCAGAATTCTCCA